GAGTGAATTGTTTTCTATTTTCCAAAAATTTTATGCTGAGATTCACAATCAATTTTGTGTAATTAAAATTCTCTGTTCTGATAATGGTCGCGAGTATTTTTACACACCATTTCAAGAATATTTGGAACATGGCATTATCCATCAAACCTCGTGTACCTACTCCCCTTAACAAAATGGGGTGGCTGAGAGAAAGAACCGTCACCTTTTGGAAATTGCTTGGTCCCTCTTACATCATATGAATGTTCCCAAACCTTTTTGGAGTGATGCTGTACTTACATCCTGCTTCCTTATTAACCGCATGCCCATGTCCATCCTTGAAGGTTAATCCCCATTCTCTGTTTTGTTTATCAACTTGTCTCTTTTTCCCCTTACTCCCAAAGTTTTTGGATGTGTGTGTTTTGTTTATAATCTTGGGCTTGGAATGGACAAGTTAGATGCTAGATCCACTAAATGTATTTTCCTTGGCTATTCTAGGACTCAAAAAGGGTATAAGTGTTATAATCCTAGTTCTCGGGGTTCTTTTGTATGTCCTGATGTTATATTCTTTGAGTTTGTTCCTTTCTTCTCCGAGTCGGATGTTTCTTTTCTTCTGTTGCTATCACCTCCTCTTCCAGTTCTAGTTGAGGACCCTGTTCCCCTTGTTCCAGTTGTGACCAAGTCTTTGCCTCCAGTGCAACTACTTGCGGAACGACCACCTATCCGGCAAGTGTATACGCATTGTCAGGCACCGGCTCCTCCTCCAGCTTCGTCACCATCGACAGATCTGGCAGTTGTTACTACCTCAGCCCCACCCTCATTTTTTACCTTGATCTCCCTATTGCTTTGTGGAAAGGTAAACGCAGTTACACTTTGCACCCCATTTCTAATTATGCTTTTGTATCTCACCTTTCGGCTTCCCATCGCCGCCTGTTTGTTTTTATGTTATCCTCTATCTCTGTTCCCAAGGATGTCTAGGAAGCTCTCACTTCTCTAGGGTGGTGCCATGCAATGGAAGAACTCTTGGCCCTGACTCGTACTCGTACATGGGACTTCACCACTCTTCCGCCTGGTAAGCATGTTGTGGGTTGTAAGTGGGTGTACACAATTAAATACTTACCTGATGGGAGTATTATGGTTGAAAGCTCGGTTAGTTGCCAAAGGTTATTTACAATTATATGGTATTGATTAAACAAACACTTTCTTTCCAGTTGCCAAAATTGGGTCGATTCGTGTTCTGATTTCTCTTGTTGCTATATTTGATTGGCCCTTGTTTCAGCTTGCCATCAAGAATGCTTTTTTACATGGTGATCTCCTTGAGGAGAGGTGTACATGGAGCAACCACCAAGGTTTGTTGCTCAGGGGGAGGGTGACAAGGTATGTAGACTTAAGAAGGCTATTTATGGACTTAAAACAATCTCCTTGTGCATGGTTTGGGAGATTTAGTGAAGCGGTGAAGAAGTTTGGAATGAAACAGTGTCAGGTTGACCATTCCGTATTCAGCTATGAATCCAATGCTGGGAAGATCTTATTGGTGGTATATGTAGATGATATTGTTATCACAGGCAATGACATACTAGGGATTGACAGGTTGAAGACTTACTTGGATGATCACTTCCAAACAAAGGATCTTGGTAAATTAAGATACTTCCTAAGAATAGAGGTAGCGAGGTCCAAGAATGGTATTAATCTGTACAAGAGGAAATATGTCCTTGATCTGCTAGAAGAAATAGGGTTGTTAGGTGCTAGACCAGCTGAAACATCCATGGAACCGAATGTTAAGTTGAGTAGTGATGCAAGTGAGGAGTTTGAGGATCCGGGAAGTTACAGAAGGTTGGTGGGTAAGCTAAATTAACTAACCATCACTCGACCTGATATCTCATTTGCAGTCAATGTAGTGAGTCAATTTATGTAGAATCATCGAATTCCACATTGGGAGGCGGTCCTAAGGATTGTGTGGTATTTGAAGGAAGCTCCAAGTCGTGGTTTGTTATATAAGAGTGAAGGAAGTCTTGAGATAGAGGGATACACAGATGTTGATTGGGCCAGTTCCATATTTCACAGAAGGTCCACTACAGGGTATTGCACTTTTCTTGGTGGGAACTTAGTGACATGGAAAAGTAGGAAGCAGACAGTGGTAGCAAGAAGCAATGTGAAGCATCTCCTAGAGGAGATGGGATACTCGATTGACACTCCTATGAAGCTATATTGTGATAATCAAGCTGCAGTTCATATCTCCTCTAATCCAGTGTTTCATGAAAGGACAAAGCATATAGAAGTTGATTGCCACTTTGTACATGAGAAGGTGCTTAATGGAGTGATAAGTACAACATATGTGAACATAAGAAATCAATGGGCAGATCTGTTTACCAAAGGGTTGAATCGGGGAAGAGTGGACTACATATGTAACAAGCTGGGACTATATGACATATACTCACCAGCTTGAGGGGGAGTGTTAGAGTCGGCTGTAGAAGGGTAGTATAGACCTTTTATATTAAGTCGTATGTTAATTGTTTAGCTGATGTGGCTCTCACTTAAGTGAGGGCATAAGAGTAATTCTTGTTTATTTAGAAAAGTATAAATAAAGACTGGCCGACTAGAGAAGATGAGTTTTCTCTCTAGTTCGACTAGAACTATTCTTCTTCTTTTCCTTCTTCTTCTTATCTGAAATCGTACAGATACCATGTCTGAATTCTATCACATCTCTAAGAAGATTTGGAAGCCCGTGGTAGAAAGAATTGAAAAGAAATTTTCCTCTTGGAAGCCAAGATATCTGTCAAAGGTAGGGATTTTCTTCACTTCCTACCTATTTGCTTTCTCTCTTCCCAATTCCTGCTAGTATAGCCAAGTTATTGGAAAAAATGAGAGATTTTCTGTGGCAGGGGGTGGAAAGAGGAGTTTAAGTTTCATTTCGTCAAGTGGAACAAAGTCTAGAAGCCAAGAAAGGCGGGGGAGGGGGGGTTTAAGGGTAAGAAGAATTGGAAAATTTAATGTGGCTTGTTTTGTAAGTGGTATTGCAGATGGACAGCCCACCAATCAGTGGAGAAGAATCATAATGGCTCAAGAAATTTTAATTGGGATCTAGGAGAAACCTGTATGATTTGTGGATGTGCAATGTGGAGGGACATACAGAAATCAGCAAGGGAGTTTAATAAAGGAATTAAGATGGAAGTAGGATCTGGGTCAAGGAGTAAATTCTGGAAGGATGTGTGGTGTGGAAATAGTCCTCTCAAGGAGAGGTTTCCAACTCTGTTTGGAATTGCACTTAATAAGGACTGCTTGGTGTTGGAGGTGTTCTCATAGGAAAGAGGGTAGGAGACTGGTATCCCACTTTTATGAGGAATTTACATGACTGGGAATTAGAAAAATGGGAGGAATTAATGCAAAATTTAAGTAAAGTCAGGCTGGACAGAACAAGAAGTGACAAAAGAGTTTGGGTGGGGGAGAAATCATGCTCTTTCACAAGTCTTTCTAAGGGTGAGAGTTTCTCTGAGAACAGGGTCTGGAGAATGGAAGCTCTTCTCAGAGTAGCCTTTTTTGTGTGGGTAATGATGCTTGGGAAGTGTTTAACAATCGAAAATCTGGTGAAAAGAGGGATGGTGGTGGAACCTAGCAGATATGTAATGTATAGACCTGTTCATGGGTCAGGTAGTTCGATGGGCTGGCTCAGCCCGGTCCGTTCCAAGTCAGGCTTGGACATGAGTGTAGGCCCATGGGCTCGGGCTCAGGCCTAAAACAGTAGGCCCAACTATTTTTTGGGCCAGGCTTGGTCTTTCTAGAAAAAGCCCAGCCTGAGCCTGAGCCTGAGCCTGAGCCTGAGCCTGAGCCTGACTTGCTAATATAATATATATAGCAAATGTATTTTATATAAAAATATACATATAATATGTTCTTTTCTTTGTTCCTCTTCTCATTTTTCAAGCCATAGTGAGACCTTTTATTATTTTTGGGTTTTGAGGTATTTTAATATAAATAAATTTGTTTTTTATTGAGTAAAAAGATTTCTTTTTTTTCAATTTTCTAGCTGGGCTTTGGGCAAGGCTCAAGACCTAGGCCTGATGGTCAGGCAAGGCTCAGGCTTGGGCCTGAATATATTCTGTTAATATGGAGACAAAGCCTGGCCCAAACCTGGCCCATGAACAGGTCTAGTAATGTGTGGTGAAGATTCTGAGGGGGTGGACCATCTATTCATTCATTGCAAGTTTGCAAGGGAGCTGTGGCTGAAGTCTTTGAGGTTGTTTGTGGTGCAGTTTTGTTTTCCAAAATCTGTTGACTTTACTACAGAGCTGGCATCTATTTGGTTTGTCTAGGTTATGGAAGATTATATGGGGAGTAATACCAGAAGCAGTGATGTGGTCAATTTGGACAGAGAGAAATAGGAGATTTTTTGAAAATAAATACAACACGGAAGACACAGTAATCTAAGGTTTTTGGCAAAGAATATGCTCTTTGGTGGCAGCACACAGGCTTTTTAAGAATATACCATACAACTATTTTTTTTTGATAGCAGTACTCTTTTTGTTTCTTGATGATTGACATGGGAATTTGATATGTAGAAAGAGAATTCTTTTCCCTGTCCAGTGCTTTATTGCACAGGGCTTTGTATATGTTTTATTTATCAATATATTGAAATGCTTTGCCTTTTCTCAGGAAAAGAATTGTGCACACTGATGTATGAGGACCCTTGATCTGTATAGGGTTCTGGATTATGTGATCTTTATCTTTTCTATTCTTTTCTTTCTTTTGTCTCCTTATGATAGTTTCTACAGAATGTACAATCGGGCTTTTGACCATGTCAATGTAAGATGATATGTTGACTAGTGCAACCTGATTATAGATTTCAGTTCTATGTATGCACACATATGCATGTACATTACACTGCCAGACTTGTTTGTGCTTGCAATTCTATCAGCTTGATTATCTTTAGATATATCAATTTGTTCCACTACCTCCTTGTTCACTTCCATACTTGTGAAATTTGTTGTTTAATGCCAATTTCTTTTTTTTTTTGTGAATATTTATAGGCTGACTCCTCACGTGTTCATGGTGTTGCGATGCCAACGATTGATGGCATCAGGAATGTGCTTGACCATATTGGGGCCCAAAAGAATGGAAAGAAAACACAAGTGCTTTGGCATAACCTTCGAGAAGAACCTGTAAGGCTGTTTAATTTCTTGACAACTGGGACATTTTAAATGGCATTATAAGAGACTTATCCTTGGTTGAATATGGGCTATCTATGCTGCTTTGGGCAACTCCAGGGCCATACATGGTGGTTTTACAAAAAAATTTAAATTTTGGGTCTTTGCCATCCCTGATACAGGTGGTGTACATTAATGGCCGTCCTTTTGTTCTGCGTGACGTGGAGAGGCCCTTCTCCAATCTTGAGTATACGGTATGTTGATTGTTGATTTAAAGTATCAAATGGAATGCACTTCAATTGATATATTTCCAGTATGCATTGCTGCTTGTTGATTTGACTGTATCATGTCCTATGTTGTGTTGGCCTAGCAGGGTTGGCATTACCCTTAGGATTCATGGTGCTTAACCACCCAACTCGTTGGTGTGCCTCCTGTGCACTGCAAAGCCCCTCAGGTCCACCTGCAGCATGTGGCCACCATAACACACATAGATGCGGGGCTCTGCGTTGTCATACAGGGACATAAATTTGCACCCTCACCATCACCTATTGGTTTTGGTTAGTGGTAAGCACTTTATTCTAACAATTGATATCAGAGCGAGGGTGTGGGTTTGAGTCCTCAGGTGACGTTTGTGTTAGAATGTTAGAATGAAGTCTCTTTGTATGAGTGTTCGGCTGATAAGAGTTCTTATTAGCCCATACTTAAGTTTAAGTTATCCTGTAACTGGGCCTGTGTTAATGGGCCTAAGCCTGTTTAATGTGTTAAGTTAACAGGGTGTCCCATCACTAATCAAGGGCATTCCAGTAATGGTTGACTGGCTTGTACAGTTCGACATTCATAGCATATCAGTGGTGTTCTTCTCCTCTCCTCTACTTCAAGTACAGCTTTCAAGCTCACATGGTATCAGAGCACTAGCGTCTCTTTGGTTTCAGCAGGCACTAGCTTCTACTCTCTCTTCTCTTGCTGTTCTTTCCATCTTCTTCCTTCTTCTTTTCTGGGTTCCTAAAAAAACTAGGGCTGTAAGAGAACAAAGCAGATTCGAACCTAGGGTTTCCCTTGGTTGTAGGGCTCAAGGGAGGTAAGGCCCAGAAGTGGATGTCCTACTAGGTT